AGGGGCTGCTTCTCCCTGAGACTGGGTTTCCCGGGAGGCGGGCAGCCTGCCCCCAGCGCAGGGCCCCACGCCCAGGGAAGACGCCTCTGCAGGCCGGGCCCTGGGTGAGGAGGAGGCGCGGCCCAGCGCTGGCGGGTCAGCCGAAGCCATGAGGGTTTGCAAATTGGACGGTTCTCGGCGACAGCCGTGAAGGTCAGACTTGTGTTTTCTTTTGTTTAATCTCTCCCAGACTTCTGGGCGCTGGCCATGTTGAACGTTTCATCCTTCAAGGTTACCTCGCCGTTGTCCTCATGTGTTTTCCAGCCTCGCTCGGCCGTGTCACCCCTCCTGGACCCAGCGTCAGCACTCCCCTGCACCTGCCCTGCCGTGCCTGCCCTGGGCCCCGGGGTGCCCCTGCTCCCCGACGCGCGTCTCTGCTCTCCATTGCCGCCTCTCTTGGACGTTCCATGGAAGGGGAGTCTCTGGTCTTTTTTTTAAAGATTTATTTATTTATGCGTACAGAGCTGGGGTACAGGCCAGAGGCTCAGGGGCGGCGAGAGGCCCCACCCGAGACACAGAGGGGAGCAGAACAGGCAGATCTACGAAGTACCCTGCTGAGGGGAGCAGCGGGCAGGTCAGGAGAGGTCTGCCGCGCCATGTGGGTCACCTCCGGGGCAGGCGGGGATCGAACTCATGCGGAAGCGGCTTTGATTCTCAGTGCTGTGCTTTATCCCTCTGCGCCACCAGGGAGGACCCAGCCTCTGGTCTTTTTAAAAGCAGCCCGTGGAGGTGGACGTCACCTACCATGCTCTTTGCCCTCAGACGTGCACAACTTCGCCATGTTGAGTTCAAGCCGCCGCCCTGTTCAGTCTCTGCCACGCCCAGAGGGAGCCCCCCGCCACCGGCGGGGCCCTAGGCAGGCCTGGGGTGCCCCAGGGCCCCCTTCACTGCTCCCTCAGGCTGTTTCTGTTTTCAGCATCCTGGCTTGGTTCAACTTTCCAGCTCTTTACCTGCAGCCTGTTCTCAGGGGTTAAACTTAATCCTTCCTGCTCTTTCTAGAATCTGTTTTCTGTCATGCATGTTCTATACTTGCACCTGCACCTCCTGAAATTCACCCTTGCTTTCTAGACGATCTGGTAAGCGTTGAGACCTAAGAGCAGCTGTTACTCCTCGGCTCTCCTGGGATGTGCAGGTGCCTCCCACCCGGCCCAGCCCCTCGGTCCCCGGCCACCGCTGTCACCTGGGGCGGCCGGTGCAGCTGGGCTGCTGAGCACCTGACACCCTCCTGCCAGCTTCCTGGCCCGCGGTCTGCCTGCGTGCCCGGACAGCGCCTTCGCGCGTCCTGTGGGGCCTCGTGTGCTGAGCCCTGTGAGCCGGCGCCGGCCCTCGCCCTGTCCTGACCGGCGTCGCCCTGATGTCCTCGAGGCGCTGTCCTCTGCAGCGCCCACTCGGCCGCGGCCCTCCCGGGGCTGTGAGATGGAGTCATTCCCGCGGGGGCGGCGTGTCCGCTGTGCGGGCGACGGAACCCAAGTCGCGCTGGCCTCAGGCTTGCCGTGGAAACTGGGGCCCCGCTCAGACCTTAGTGGCCCCTGAGTTTATCGGAGACGGGAGGGGGGTTCTCACCCCAGGCTCCCCTCAGCTCTCATGGGCACGAGGTGCTCAGGCAGCTCCCGCCGGAGGCCACTGTGCCATGCGTGGCTGCCTGGTGGCCAGTGCTGGCCCCACGGCGGCGCGGCGGCCCTTTGCTGAGCGGGAGGGGAGCTGAGCCCCGGCTGGGCGGCCCTGTGAGCTGGGTCCTTCGTCCCTCCAGCGTGGGCTGTGCTGGGCCGGAGTCGCAGCCAGAGCCAGTCCCCGGCCGGGCCGCCCTTCTCCTCCAGCCGCCTGCGAGTCGGCTCGTGGCCGTCGCCCACTGGCGGCCACTTGCTGTCGGAGCACGTTGGTTGGGGCAGCGGCAGGACCGCCCTCAGGACTGCCGGTGGGCCTGGCAGGGCCGTGGCCCGCCAGGAGTGGCCTCACGCTGGGAAGGGGAACGCGCGCCTTGTCTCTCCAGAGCGTGGTTTTTCCTGATTTCCTTACGCTGGGGCGCTGGGTGAGGCCGCCTCGGGCCTGGCACGGTGGCCCCTGGCCATGTCAAGTGCATCTCCCACCTTGACGTCCCCTGGGGACGGCTCTGTCTGGTTTGCGAGCCCCTTTCCGGCTTGGCTGCCGCGGGCCTCGGCGCGGCCCGGCGGCCGCCGTGTGCTCGGGCCCGTCGCCTGCGCTGCCACCCGTCCCAGGCCGTGTCTCACGCTGCCCTTCCTCCCTGTCTCGAGCTGCAGGCAGGTCCGATCGTGGGTGACGAGGGCCTCGCCCTCCGAGGCGAGGGCCTCCCGGAGCGGTCCCTCTTCTCCAGAGTGGACGTTTGGCGTCCACCACTCAGACCACACTCAGCCACCAGGGCTCAGCCGCGGCCTGTGCGCGGCCGTTTCTGTCCTCAGAGAGGTGACGGTAGACTTTGGCATGGCAGCCGTGCCAGGCTCTGGCCACGCCGGCGGCCACACTCCGCAGACTGCTGCCCCGCAGAGGTGTGGTGGGAGCGTCTCCAGCCCCAGAAACCACACCAGTCTGGGCATCCGGCTGGGCCGTGGGATCCGTGACAGGAGGGAAAGCGAGGCGCCTGGCTAGGCATCCTCCCACCACCAAAGGGAAGCGTTCAGCGGCCACGCGCCTCCCAGAGAGACTGGTGAACTTAGACCCTGGGGTGCGGGAGCGCGCTTGCTCATTGAACCTTGTCTCTCGCGGCTGGCCCAGGGCTCCGGAGAGCAGGCAGGCGGAGCTCAGTGCCCGCCCTGGCGCCAGGAAGCCCGTGATCCCGCCCGCAGCCTCAGGTCAAAGCTCCGCCTTGGATTTGCCTGGGCTCTGGCTCTGGGGTGGAGGCACGTGAGACCCTCTCGTCTGCCCTGCAGGAGGCCTGTTCTTGGGGAGCGAGTGCCCCCTCGGCCCCACGGTTCAGCTGTGCAGAGGCGGCGGCCACCCCACCGCCACACTGCCAGCCCGGCCGTGGCGGGGAGCTTTGCCTCCCGCCTCACGTGGGCGGAGGTGCCTGTTCCCGCCGTGACCTCCTGCCTCCCAGCTCGGCCCTGGCCCTCCGGCAGCCCCCACATTCTCTGTTCAGCTGTGCCTGCTGGGCTCCCTTCCGGGGGGCCTGTGGCGGGCTGCCCCGGTCGCCCATGCGGTTGGCACTCACCAGGCTGACCGCTCCTCCTTTAGGCCCCAGCTGGGAGGCACTGCCCCAGGGGCCCTCGCCGGCCCCCGGCCCTGTGCCCACAGCACCCAGGCGCCTCAGCCCCGGAGAGGGGCCCTGCTGGTCCTCTCCTGCCCCGGCAGCAGCACGGGGCGGGCAGGAGACTCTTCGCGGGGACCCATGGGAGGGGCCCCGGAAGGCACAGTCCGAGCCCTGCGGGCCGCCGCCCTCACCAGGGCTGGCCGCAGGGTCCCCTGTCAGGGCCGCAGGGCCAGCAGTCGCCTGCCGGGGCCTGGCCTGGGTGCCAGCGCCTGCCAGCAGCAGCCTCCCGACTCAGCCAGCTCTAGACGTCAGGCCCCTCCTGGCAGCTGCCCCCCACTCAGAACGGCCCTAGCCCTGCCCCGGCGGCCCTCTGCAGCGGCAGCGCTTCCGGGACTGACCCAGTGTTGGGAGCGGGCAGGCTTCACGGGGCAGCCCAGGGCCAGGTCCTGCCGACAGACGCCCAGGTGGGCCCGGGGCCGTGGCCCAGACAGCCCAGAGGCGGCGTCAGATGCTCCCGGAGGCGCCTCTCGCCTCCGGCTCCCCAGCCCGCCCCATTTCAGGCTCGCCCGTCATCAGTTGCAGTGTGACGGGCCTGGATCGCCCGGGGTGCGTGTTTCCGTTGGAGGAGAAAAACAGGCCCGGAAGTTTAGGGCCCGAGCTAAGAGTGAGCATCCGGTCACCCCTGTGGGGCCGGTGGGCACCTGAAATCCGTGGCCTGCGTCTCCGCTCCCACCGGCGGCCCGGCGGCCCGCGGGCTGCCTCCAGGACTTCCCGGGTTCTCCGGAGGCGACTTACGACTGTCACCACGCCGCATCTCGGGCGGAGGAGTGACGAAATGGTGGTGTGGGTAAGGCCTGTCGATTAGTCCCTCGGTGCTCCAGGAATTAATTTTAAAGCGTCATTAGCTCTGTACCCAGCGGACCTGACTGCGGGCTCGGTGCCAGGCGCGTCTGCCTCGCCCCCCCGCCACCCGCCAGC